CTCTCTCACTCTCTCACACACACACTCACTCACTCACTCTCTCACACACTCTCTCACTCACTCACACACACACACACACACACACACACACACACACATGTTCTATATGGGCTTCCATAACATATATGTGCGTGCATAATTTCCACAAACTTGTTTATGTAGTCTACTCATTTGTAACTGTCAATCAATCACTAATTGTCCTGATAATTACCAGGCGACTCATGTTTAGTGACTGATGCAACACGATCACGACAGTCACACACACACACACACACACACACACACACACACATGTTCTATATGGGCTTCCATAACATATATGTGCGTGCATAATTTCCACAAACTTGTTTATGTAGTCTACTCATTTGTAACTGTCAATCAATCACTAATTGTCCTGATAATTACCAGGCGACTCATGTTTAGTGACTGATGCAACACGATCACGACAGCTAGCAACTTTATAACTCACACGATCACAATGAAACACTAGTGAAAGTAAAGATGTTGCGCTGAAGCCCAGATGAAGGGACTCTGCTGGAGTCCGCACACGGAACAGCATGCTAAGATGAGTTAATGTTAGCAGCTTGCAAATTCATCTCATTAGCGATGCGTATGCGAGTATAGACATGCTTTTATGCGTATGAAACTTTTGGTGCAACATTGCAACAAACTCACCGAGGCCTCGCCGGTCCACTAGACCACCTGAAGCTGCAGCGGAGATCTGATCTGACGCTCGCGCTCCAAGCTCCGCGCTGTTGCCGTGATGTTCTCCCGCTGCTCGGTGTGAGGATCTCGGAGTCTGTCTGTGAGAGTCTGCATGAGATGATGCTGATCGCAGCGCTGCAGTCGCTCAAACACGTGGGGAGGAGCTGAGTGCGCTCGCCATATCCCAGCATGCACTGCGGCCGCGACGCGCCGGCTGCGTCACAAATCCAGCGCTGTGACGCCTGGGGGCGCGTCCCAAATCGCGTACTTATGCACTATTCTATGAGTGCATTGTGTATAGGTGCAGTGTATAAGTAGATAGTGCTTAAGTGCGTAGTGTATAAGAGCATAGTGTATAGTGCGTCATTTGGGATGCAGCTCTAGAGAGGAAGATACTGTCTCTGTGTGAAGATACTGTCTACTATGATGCTTTGTAGTATTAATAGTGCGAGTTGTGCATTCACACTGAAAATTGCACTCAAATAACCGAAAAAATCAAGTGTGGAATGTTGGACACTAAATCCACTCAACTGTCGCAGCTTTAATTACGTAGCTAAGGGGGAGGTTATGAATGACAAAATAAACTTATGTAATTCATACACTACGTGGTTGAGTACATAGTGTATAAGTGCATTGTGTATAAGAGCATAGTGTATAAGAG